CGAATCGTTTTGTTACAGCATTTGATTGGTGGAAATATCTCTTTTAACTCCGTAGAGTATTTACCGAGGAGGTGCCTATATGGTAAGCATACTACCACTCACTTTACGGCGATGTTCGACATCATCGACGCATCAGATTAATCGTCGCCATCAATGAGCGTTTCCGACAAGACCTGAAAACTTCCACCTACAAAAACGAATTGCTCTCTAATCTGGACCTGGTGCAGATAGTGTATTTGGTGCAGATATTGGTTACATTAAAGTACTTTTCCATCCCTTCAAAAATCTTTTACTTCTTTTCACACTTCGAATAAATATTTGTCCAAGAAACAGCATTTTGTATTCTCATGCCACATGTCCTCATAGCCTCCACCAAATGAGATGTGAAAGTGATAAAAGACATTGATCACTTCTTCTGTGCGACAGGAGACTGGGCACTGCGTTGCTTTGATATTAAAAATCATCATATCTTCTTGACCGTACTCAGATATTTGAACGAGATCTCAATCTATTAACATTGGATGTTGCATTAATGAAAATTTATTTGAGTTAGATCCGTAAATAAGAACTCGTATCTATAATAAAAAAAAAAAAAAAAACTCGATATGAATCGAATGCAAATGAACTTCTTGAACAAACTTATGCGGTCTTCTTGGATATTAGCGATGACTTCGTCGCACTGTTCAGTTCTTTTTTTTTTTTTTTTTTTTTTTTAATATCATATATCAGCCAATACCCAAAATTTGATAATAAAATTGTCTCCGATCAACATTAATATCTGACGATGTAAAACCAACGCAATAACGTTGCGTAACTGCCAGTTAGAAGCTATCGTGACATTAATATATGCATTTTATAAATTCGTTTGCAAGCATTTGCGGCATGAAGGACATAGCAGTTCCCAGTTCATTTCTTCACTTGTGTTTATGACATTCTAGGGAAAAGTTGACAAATTGCGTCGCCTAATGTAACTTGCAATAAGATTTGATTGATACCTTAAAACTAAGTTCCAAGAAAGTAAATAACAAGGTAAGCTCAACAGAAATGCCAATAAAAAAGTATTCAATAGGGGAGTTTTGCTTCAGCGTAAATTTTTTGCTTCAAAGGAAATCTATTTTTCTCTTTCTATATAAATATATATAAGCCAAACAGATGTGTGAATTTTGACCTTTCCTGGCGTTTTTGCAAATGAATAATTTTAATGTGTTTCAATTTTTCAAATATAATGATTGCATGAATGAATGACGCAGCTATTCGGACTTGAAGTTGCTTACTTAAAATACATTTTATTTTTGAAATTTATCCTAACCTATAGCAGGAACCTATCTATTCGTTTGTGTTGTGCAAATTTTTTCCAAAAAAATTTGATTGAATAGAAAACCGACATTTTAAAAAGTATTATGCGTGTTATGTAAAATTTAATATGACGACAGGAAGATGACCCTTATATATATATATATATATATATATATATTTGTATACATATATGTTAAGATAAATTCACCTATGCCACATAAATACAAACACACACACACACACACACACACACACACACACACACACACACATACATACATACACATACACACATACATACACGTAAACATGCACAAATCAAAATGTAATTTTCTATACACAATGGGTAAAAAATGAAAAAGGTTTTCCTTCTTTTAAAACTTGACACAGACAAACTGACCTTTCGATAAAATTCTTATGTTAATATTGATAATGGGTGGGTGTTGGTGAATTTTAGGGCCAAAATGTAATTTCTTTTTAATTCAGTGAACAACAAAAGCAGCAACAACAAAAACCACTATGAATGTCAATGAATGGTTTTGAGAGACATAAATAACCAGAGCCATAAATATTGTCGGATGACGATGATGAATTGCAAGTATTTAAATATTTAAATATTGCGTATGAAAAGAGAAAAAGAGACAAGATAAAGGAAATAGCATACATACACTTCGACAAAAGGATAAGCATATGTAAAAGGACACTTTATTGGCACTTTCAAACTCTTACCTTTATGGCTTGAAAGTTAAATTTGAACTGAAAGCAACAGCTTCCGAGAAATTTTTGCCACACTGGCCACTGCGTTATGCACTGTGTGAAATTTGTGCTGTTAAAGCACTTAAGGGACTGATTGTCAAAGTAGCACAAGAAAGGTTTCTTTTAACAAGTTTACAACACTCTGAAGTGATGCAAAGACTATAAAAGAAAATTTTCATCCTTTTAGAAATTTGTTGTCTAACAAAACAGAACCGTAGCAAACAGACGCTTGACCTAACGAACCATAAATTACGGTTTAAAGCTATAAGCTGGTGTTGTATTATGTTTAGTTGCCTTCTTCTCCTTATTACTGTTAAGTAAATGAGTTGTTGTACTTTTACCTGCAGCTATATATAATTTCGACTCAACCAAGGGTGAATGTGGGTATGTGTGTGTGTGTGTATGTGTGTGTGTGTAAGAATATATCTTCAATTCTTTTTGTATACATTATAGCCTCTTAAATTCGATTACAGAAGACAAAGGGATCTTATGGAAATTTGATAAATTCTCTTTTCATTTCCAGCGCATATGTATTTTCAAAAATGATTGAATACCTTAAAAAGCATATCCTTCGGGAATATGAAAAGTTTAAGAATTAATTGTTGGTCTAATCAAAGTTAATTTATTGCAATCATTACGAATAACGTAACCACATAAAACTAAAACAATTCGTATAAAACTAAGCAAAATTTCAAATATAAACTTAAAATAATGATTGAACAAAGCGTATATTAAAACAAATATCAATGATTATAGTAATGATTACCTATGCGCACCCGCAAATCCTATCTAATATTTCTACCTATATAAAGGGTCGCAAGAGTTACAAACGTCATGATCAATCAACACAAAAGGACAAAAACATTCACTTACACTTTCTTGCCCGTCATCTCCATTTCTTCTCTATAACTTGCATACGCGATCCAGTAGATCAACATCAGTTAGCGATCTATTAACGAGAGAAGGTGTGAAGGAGTGTAAAACACCACTACTTTACGTTATTTACTATATTACGTATTACGATAATACGTGAATCGATTGGTTACGCATTTGCTTAACAAAACTTTGGCTCGCATGAATATATGAAAAAAAAACAACGTAGTGAAGTTACCGGAAGATTTTTCAAGACGTACCATTCATAAATCGCCAAGAAAGTGAACTAAATGTGTAAGTTATGACAGGCGATACTTCGAATATAATATATATTTGCCTTATATTCTCCGTTTTGATTTTCATTGTATTTACTTTTCTCTTCTTAACTATTCCGACAACAAACCTTTGAACCTCGGCGTTGTTTAACTATCGATAACTATAGATCATCTTTATAATTATATATTAGGATTTGCCAATGGGATAGTGTTGCTAGATAAATTGCACAGTAAAGATTTGATAATGCATTATAACTTACGCCTATGTATTGCGAAAGAATCATATGATAGGAAATGGGATAAACAATTTAGATAACTAACGGGATATTGCAGATAGATGCGATCCAGAAGATACATTGGGTAATACAAAAAATATATTAAATACACGGCTTCCAAAGGGAACAATTAGTTTATATCACATTGTTTCAAGAAGTGTGAGAGTAGTCCCAAAATTTTAGAAGTGGCGAAGAAAGTACAAAAAATGCCGAAAAAATTTCCTTTTCACAATTAGCTTCAGATTCTTTATAGAGTTTAGCGTCCGCACCTGGCATGAAGCCTTAATCAGACGAATTGTCTATAACCATCGGCAACTAGAAAGTTCAATTGGTGAGCCCCACAGAGTAAGACAATCCTTACCACCCCGAGATACCGAAATAAAGAATGGATGTGAGCCATTTTCTCGCCCAATGGTTTGCGTCGAGGCCTATCTAACCGCCTCCTAGATAGTTCTCCATGAAACTTTGGACACAGCCACCACGATACTTCTCTAAGGGCCGTACCCAAGCAGTCAGGTAAGAAGGCATTCTTCCGACACAGAGATGGGCGCATCTTTCAATCCTAATTCTGAGCAACCTGACCCCCACGAATATCCACAAATTTTTAATGGCTTATCACTCGTACAGAATCTACACCCTACTATATAGCTTTGGGTGATCTCTTACTATACGCAACCGTAGCCACTCTTACATTCGGACTCTCCACATGTCTCCGAGCGCTATCCGAGCGCTATCCTTTCTCGAGGAAATAATGCTTCCAATGTTGCTATCATATAGCTCACACCCGACTATGCCACAGTCCTCTTAAATATCGCTGGCCATCATAAGAAGGTACAAATTATACTTTTTCTCCATATAAGGGCTCAGTGTTCATGATAATCCTTGTATTTGTTAGGATCTCAAAAGAAGACCTATGTGATCCAAATTCCCTACTATTAATTGTTTTGGTTATTTTGCTAATACGGGCCAACTTCCATCATAAAGTTATAAAAATTTAACTTTTTTGAAAAATTTGTATGAAGCGCTGTTCTAGAAATAGACTCATATGGTTCGCATCTGTAAGCTCACTGTTATGAACAGATTTTCATCATAAAACCTTAACCTTAGGCCTTTCTGGCATATAAAAGCCCATTTCCTGAGCATCGTTATGTGTGGTGATATCGAAAAAATAGCCCCACACGGTCCACTTTTGGTAGTATTGATTTCTATGCCAATTTTTGCCATGAAAACTTCAAAATTAGACCTTTTTACCATATAAAGGTTCAGCTTTCGTGGCAACGGTTACATCAGAAAGGGTTCAAAAATTTGCCCCAGCCGGATCAAATTTTTCATACCAATTTAGAATGTCGAAGTACTATTACTTGCCGACTTTTGTCGATATATTGTGAAAAGTATTATTTTTTTTTTTTTTATTTAGTTTTAATTTAGTAATAAATGTGAAGTATTTCTCGAAAAATCTTACAATCATTAATCGCGAGGTAACTCGATTCAAAATTATTACAAAAAGCAAAGAATGATAAGAACATTATTTGAATACTTCGATGAGATCAAAACAGTCACTGATTACAGCGGCGCCTCCAATATGGTGCTCGATTTCTAACGAATCAACTATAGTCCATCTATTGGTGTTTAAATTGAAACGTTCAACACTCGTGACAGGTGTGATGCAATCGGAAACGCCGCCAAACACGTAAATTTCTTCATCAATTGTTATGCTCGACTGGCCTCGTCTGTAGCGATGCATAGCTGGCATACCTTCCCATTTGTTACATCGTATATCAAAGCGTTTGGAAAAATATTGAACGCTAATTAGAAAGTGTTTGTAAGGCAATAAATTGAAATGTTCTTCTTCTACAAATCGAGGTATTCCTTGTGATATTGTTTTTACATCATACCATCGTCCTTCTCGCGGATCATATCGAGTCAACGAAGTTGTAAGTTGCGTGACATCTTTAAACGAACCGTAATTAAAAATACAATTTTCCACAACTGCAGCTTTGCTGCCAAGATTACATAGTAAAGATAGTTTTGCACAGTTGTGCCATTGATCTGTCGAAGGATTGTAGCATTCGACAGTTGAAGTATTGCGCCCACCGATTACGTAGATGAGATCGTTTAATGCACATATTCCATGGTTTAAACGAGGATGATTCATTGATGCAATGTCAGTCCATTTTTGTTTAAAAGGATCGTAACATTCCGCTGTTTTTGAAAATGCAAGTTGGTCTATATCTCCACCAGCTGTGAACACGCGACCATTTAATGCAGCTGCGCCAATTTCACATCGAGGCGTCTTCATTTCGGAAGTAGAGAGCACTTTATTGCTGGTTTTATTATAAATTTTGCAACTGTTAAGTACTTTCCAGGATCGTGCACGTTGACCCCCGACAAATAGCACATAATTTTTTATCTCGTTCCTGCTTTTAATCCTCTTCTCGTTCTGAATGGTACTCGACAAACATTTTCGTCCACTTTCTGATGATAGCTGGTAACTTATGGCGTCGATTAAGAAATGACTGCATTGTGGATCATTTCTAAGGAGTGGTTCAGTGATGATATGATTTCTCAAGAATTCAGTGGTGATGAAAGGCAAGCGTATATGGCTTATTAATGCAGAAAGGTGTACTTGGCGCGTCTTTTGGTCATGTTTAATCCATTTTATCATCGCTTTATATGCGTTATCCTCAACTTTTACCCGCAGTTTGTCGTCTGTCATAAGTTTTTCGATCTGAAAGGAGATATAGACAAAAAAACATTAATAATCTTTTTGTATTCACATGGTAAACAAACGAATTAATTAGATTTCATTATTCCATAAACCACATACCTCTTCAAAAGACAGCAGGAGCCATTCGTCGGTGTTTATCAACTTTTGAAAATGTTGTAAGATGTATTCGTGACAATAATCGTACAAATCGTCACAAGAATGCATATCTGAAAGACCATTAAGAGTACATGCGGTTATGGAATACTTTTGTAAAAACTGAACTTACTTACCGGCATGTCTTTGAAAGCTGAGGCAGTTTTCCAGCTTTAGTGCCCGTTTGAGAACTTGGCAGCATTGCACCTTGACCCAATCTATTTGCAATAAATCTGCTGTTAATAGAAGGGGGAGGACATTATCCTCCGTGATCTGAATGCTGCCGCTGTATATGTACACGATAATCGCTTTTATAGAAGATGCGTCAACGTCAGTTAACGCGGCTGTGCCTTGCGCCTTCTCTTTCATGTTATCTAAAATGGAGGAATTTTTCATTTGTTTCTTAAACGTTTACGTGAAACCACTTACTTCTTAGCATTGCTCCAAAGTAAGGCGAAACAGCCGCAAGTAACCATTTGTGAACGAAAATCGTTTCATCATCCACTTGCAGATAGAAATCGCAATGCTTTGATATCGAAAAATTAAATTTCTAACGCTCTTCTTATAGAACATGTAGTCGCTTACCTCTTGATTCAGTCGCATCTTATTTAAAGCTTCAAGCAGAGTAGTACCATAATCGGGATTTATACAATTACTTTCGGCTGTCAGTCTATCGGTGATGCCGACGCGTGTAGGTTTGAAGGGAGATCTAAAGATGCAATATGAACGTTTCAGAATCGAATATTTCGTTGTGATCGTAGGCTAGAGATTTTATACAGTTACTTACGCGAACATTACTGTATGACTGCTTTTCCGGAAGGTAGGTTAAGTTATTTTTGTACTTGACGAAGATTGGTTTTAATTAATCTGTAACTTTAAAAATTGTCTCACGTTTCTGTAACTTTGGATATCTTTCTTGCAACAAATTTAACTAACAGAATATCTATTATTACGGATGATTTATTTTTTCGACGAAAAAAATATTGAGCAAATCCTCTACTTATTACTTCTATATACTGTTTGTGCGGTGGTGTTGTACACTTCATCAAAATTAAATTTATTGTTATGAATTTCGATTTCGATAAGATAGGATTCGCGTCACTAGATCGTGGATATTCTTTTCAAGAGAAATCCACTTCAAAGTTCTTTTTATATATATATAGCTATATTCCTTAAGAGTTTTTGCCTTACTGTTTTTCAGCTAATCCTTTCCATCGGCCAGCAGCTGCATTACGCGTCGCGAATGTGCACTTGATTGGAATCTATTATTTGGGAAACTTAATTACCTAGAATGAATTGGATTTGGGATTTCCGTAATATTATTTTAAATATTTTCTTTTCAGATATAAATGACTAATTGTAACTATGTTGTTGTTAATAGAAATCGTTTGAGTATTAATCGACCGATGGATGTTTGAGCAATGGAATAGTGAACTCTTATCATAAATTATTTGGTCGACAGCGCACTAGTTGAAGAAAAACGAAAAAAAAAAATCATACATTACAAGCACATGTTGGTGGAGTGAAACAAAACCGCGATAAGGGTTATGTTTAACTATCGCCGAACATTTCGATAACTACAAAAAGAAATAAGCAGATCTTTCTCTACGTTACGTGTCGACTTGTGTGAATACTTGGAGGATAACATAAAATAATTCGTGGAATCGCAACCATTCTAAATATTAAAGGAGAAAAATTTACCTTTATTGATAAATGTCGTCATATTTTTGTTATTATTGTTATGAATTTAGTCAGAGTAAGAAATTCGAAGTTTTAAAGCACGAGCATGCATTTCTACCGCACTCCAGATTCGAACTCGCGATCATTGAAGTTACTTTTGCTGTTGTTACGAATATTTCATGAAATTATTATTCTGATGGGAGTATAAGTTTGTTTGCTCCCTTCTCACATATTACCTAACCAATGGCACGAAATTGTGATTCAATCAAATTCTTCCAACAATATTCTTCCCTTTTGATCATGAAATGCTAAATATAACACCTTATTGGCATCTGAAGTCTCGAAAAAGGGCCTAATGCTGTCAGATGTAAAGAAAGGGAAATTTTGGACTTTAAACCGCAGTTCTGTAGACCAACTTTTATCGTAAATTAATGAGAATTTAAATGCAAACATTATTGCAACTGTGTTTATTTCGATTTTCTATTGTTGACTACTGCTTTTTTCCACCTTTTATGGAATTTTTAAATTTCATCCCGAGAAATAGTTTGATCTTTTGCGACTATCTTCAAAGGAACCCATATTTGAAGGCGTTCGAGCAAACATTTAGTCATTCATTGGAATTCGTGTTAGCCAGAGGAAGCGATGTCTGCTAATAACAGCGAGTAGGGGACGATATTCCATGTTAAGGCTGTAAAGATGACTTTTGGTATATCACGCCGCAATTGCTTCGATTATTGTTGACAGCTTTCCCTTTTCTCTTTATTTGTTTGGAACAAAACCATTATACCCCACGCTTAGCCACGTTACTCCACCTATCTACATTATAGTTACCTGGGTTTATGTAGCCCTATCCTTTGAATGCGAGCAGGAAAAGTAAAGTTTCCCACACACAACTACATCTATTCAAAGCCCCAAAACACTATATTGTGTATAATTCAGTATAATTATTTATACAGTTACCTAGAGCTTAAAGACTCTACTTTCACACGAAGAGAATTCACAGTTTTATTGTACACCCTACAGTTCTACTTAAATTCTCTGTTGCAAGAACGGACCGAATTAATTTGTATTCCCAGCAATTGATTTCTATTGTCATTCCAAGTCATCAAATCCTATCAAATCCTAGCGCCTGAAGACAATACGAATTATTGGAATTTTTAGGAAAGTTGGCATTCGATCTCCGCAAAATCAATGTGCAAATGTTCTGGATCGTGTCAGTCGCGTTTTTGTTGGTTTTCTTAACGGTTGTGAAAAATAAGCAAACTTGTGGAAATGGGCGTCGCTATTGTTGCAACAAAATTGTAGAGCGAATTTAACTAAATAATTTTAATAAACTATTTCTCCATTCTTGGCTCAGTTGATGCGTGAAATGAATTTATATCATTATACCTATTACCCAAGGATGAGCGTTGTATTCATTTTGTCAAAGCGTTTGCAACGCCCAAAAGGAAGCTTCAGCATCAAATTCTAAATCGATTTAAGTATGCCCGTCTGTCCGTCCGCGTAATACCTGTGGTAATCATTCTCTTGGCCGCCAAAAAGGGGCTATCGATCTCGCTTGTAACAGACACGTTAGAAATTCTGGCATGTGCGTTTGTATTCAAAGTGAGAAAAATCGATCAAAGAACTCGCGTACAGTACCACCCCTTTTTTTGAAAAGATACAAAATTTTGATGCTTTGCGCATTATTTATAAACTATAGCAGCTAAATCTACACAAATTTGAAGGGATGTTCTGCAGTCGATGCTGTAATGTCTGCTTAAAAATGCAAAATATTGGCCACGCCTACCTAAAATTAAATCTTCTTTTTTTTAAAACCTTTATAACACGCATAAGCAAATATCAAAAACCCAATAAAGTATATAAATTCTTGATCAATTTCGAGTTTGGAACGCACCTAAACATATCCCTTTGTCCGTGTGTCCGTCCCCCCGATTGTTCATATGTCTGCTTGCCCAACCGTATAGTGTCTGTAGGAGAACTTGCTCCTCCTGCAAAATTGCAAAAAAATTAAAGTACACGCCTACAACGCCCACAGAGATATGCGATGAAAATTGTGGACCACCTTTGCTTTACGTGTTTTTTTGCTCTTGTTACACATAAAGTGCACTCACTATAAATGTTCACTTTTAAAATTTAGCTTGCTCGGCAATTGCTGTAGAATCGAATCGGTCGCGACCGAATATAATTTTCTTACTTCTTTAATTTTCAAAAGGAATTCAAGATGATCTTAATTTTAGGTTTACGTTCGGCATCTCCAGCGGAAATGCAAACGAAACGATTACGGAGCGATTTAGTAGCCTTCTAATATGTCCGATATCGATTCGTCTGCTACATTGTACAACTCAGAAATTGATCCTAGGCGTTGAGTATTCGACAATAAAATAAACAATTTTAATATAACTTTGTTACTCGCTTCGCTCTCTCTTCTCATCCTATATCACAATATTATTTTATTGTCATGGCTTCCCTTATTGTTTGTTTTCTTTTTTTCTTTCTTATTTCTTTATTTATTTTTTTATACACATATATATATATATATATATATAAAAATATGTGAATAGATTTTATTATTAACATTTACGATTTTTAATTTAAATGATTTTCATCGAAACGATTTCTTTTTAAAACTCTCTACTCTCTTCCATTTTACTTCTGCAACAATCATTAATCTTGCAATTTTATTTCAAACGTATTTAGGTCTTACAACGTTTACGTGCATACCGAGTAGCAGAGCTCCTTTCTTATTCAACACAACAAGCGTTGTGTTGCCATTATATTGTATGATAGATCAGCTTATTGTTGTTGGCAAAGGAATAATGCTTAGAACATTAAAAATTATTATTCGTTTCGTATTTTTATAACCATAGTTAAAAAATAGCGACATATTCATTTTTCTATTACTTTTGTGACACCCATAACAGTGCACACAAGAGATCTGGGTGCAATATTCACATTATTTCGTTAGCGTATGAATCTCATCTAATATGATAGAAATTTGCGTAAAAGAAGATTGAAAATTTTTAGATAACCTTTGGATTACCATGAATGTTAAGATATTTTCGATAGAAGTCTTGCGAGTAATACAAGCTCGGAATATACATGTACACGTTATTTATCTGTGTGCGGTAGTGGACATGACATTCAAGATTTACCAGATTTTTTTTTTTTTTTTTTTTGGTTCATAATGTTTATAAAGGTTTCCTATTGTCGAAAATACTTACCGAACTGAAGGGCACGCACAACGCAACCGAACGATGGAGTTTAAATTGGAATTGTTAAATTTTTCATTATGATATTAAATTCTTGTTACTTTCTTTTATGGGTGTTGGCCGGGAAAAAAGAATGTCGAATATATGAAGGGGAGGAGCGACCTACAAATCCTAAACGTTTAATAAGGCGAATGTAAAATTGGTGCGATAAAAATTTTTATTTAATGCTTTTATAAACATTATACTTGAAATAAATATAAACGACAGTTAACGGTAAAGCTTTTCATTTTATAGGGGCTTAAATTCGAATCAGAGACAGATTCTGTGGGAGATGTAATGATAAACCTTAAATATAATTCTACGCTTAAAATGCGTAAAGGAGCTTACCGTTTCGAAATTAGGTTAGGTCCGCTTACAGAAGCCATGAGCGGTGAGAATGCCAGTTATCAGTTTAAACCTAACTTCAACAAATCAAGCTTACACACTTTTGCTAAACACAAACTTTTGCTAAAATCCTGACCTTTGATTTTCTTAGGTTGACCACAGATTTGAATTCCATGAAAAAAATTTTTTGCGCCCTTTGACGCAATATTGTTTCTTTATGTACCCTACATCATTTGCGCTAGAAGGAGATGTCAAGTTTATGCGAATATCTGCAATATCTCGAAGGACTTGAAGGTCTATCCGTCTATATGTCTTGTCTTGTCGTATTCTAGCTATAGATATAGGACATGTTTGGGCCCAAGAGCGAACGCTATTGAAAATGATCCGGTTCGGACGACTCTTTCGATTACTGCCCACATTAAAACATATTTTGAAAAGTCAACATATAGATGACAATAATAGGAGAGAACAAAAAGTGTAGGGTGCTGCAGTTAATTTCGATGACTTTAAAAAAAAAAA